GATCTAAAAATTCAAAATTTTCTTGGGGGAGCACCGAAGCCTTTAGTACATTTAACCCCGTATCTCATTGTACTAATATACATTCTTTCGAATGAGACACCCGCTACTTGAATGTACTCATGCAAAAACCTCACTGAATTTCAAACACTGCTTTTAGGTGATGTAAAACGTAATTTAAAAATCAGTTAATCTGGACCCTTACACCACCCATCCCCCCAAAGTGATTCACAAATGTTTTGCACATTTTCTAAAAGTCTACATTTCGCTCAAAATTTAGAGACACGTTGCTAGCAGGTTTATTGGATGGGGTTCGCGCCAGTGGAAACAGAGATGTCTGTGTGAAAACAACTCCCACTAAAAGAGGTATAATTGTACTTGATCAAAATTACTACGGTGAAGACTACAAGGTGTCCCAAAAAAACTGGACACTGTTTGATTTCATGTAACGTGAAAGCTATTAACGCTATCGCAATGAAATAATTTAGATTTTGATATATAGCACTTGAATTTACATGCAATATTGACTGCGCTATTGATGTTTGAACTTTAAACTATTGTTTTTGAAATGCCAAAAATTAGCATAAAACAACCTTATAATTACCGAATGATGTAGTTAAATAATAAATATTTTTATTTTGGTTGTATCTCGCTCAATATTGCATGTGAATTCAAGTGCTATATATCAAAATCTAAGTTAGTCCTTTTTAAATGCAATGATCTTTATTTAATTGTGATAGCTTTTATAGCTCTTACGTTACATGAAATCAAACAGTGTCCATTTTTTTGGGGAGCACCCGGTGTTTGATTGGTCTAAAGCTAAAAATGTATTTACTCTGTTCAGGTTATCGCTGGGGTCCTTTGTATTGTGCAGTCGACGAGGAGGTTGAAAGTAGTCATTTAAAATTTCTTGCCACACCCCCAGGTAATGCATAATTCCGCTGTAAAGACCCATTTCCACTCAAGAAAATTTTCCACGGACAGAAAATCTTCCGAAAATATCATTGTTAAAAGTTGAAAATTTGTGTTGGCCAATCGAAGTTTACAAAAAATTTTTCTGCGGAACATTTTCCTAAGTTGAAATGTACCTTAATGCATAGTTGTACTGTAATAGCACGTGTGTTTCACGAGCCTCCATTGCAAAATACATTTTACTTGTGTTTTTATGCAGGCAAATTCGCAGAGGCTGTGTACAGATTTAACTGCAACATTTCATACAGCGGGCTACTTCACGCTGTGACCCAAGATGTAAGTTTCACAAAACAATACAGCTTTAATTGAACAGCTTCAATTGAACAGCTTCAATAAGGCTGCCAAGGCTACATCAAGTTGTACATGTGCTATTTTCGGTCGACGTTTAGAATAACGGCCATGTGTTGAATTTGCTGTAGGGACTTTTCTCAGAAAACAAAGAAAGACTCATTGTTAAAGCCATTACGATGCTTATCGCTCATGAAGGTAAATATAATGACATCATTTACACTGAACATACTCAGTTCTAAAGTCCAGTAAAGCACATCATTTAGTTCCATCGAGTGACTTGCCCAAAATACTGATATTTTAAAATACCAGTAAAGGACATACCATATTGATCCAGTGTTACTACAGGAGGAAACCTAAACTAAACTAACTTCATGTATACTGGATAGCTCTATCAGTTCTAAACTGTTCTTCCTAGAGGTCCAGTAAGGATAATCTCTTATTGACCCAGTGTTACTAAAGGAAGAAACCTAAACTAAACTAACTTTATTTATACTGGATAGCTCTATCGGTTCTAAACTGGTCTCCTTAGAGGTCCAGTAAGGATCATCTCTTATTGATTCAGTGTTACTACAGGAGGAAACCTAAACTAAACTAACTTTATTTATACTGGATAGCTGGATCAGTTCTAAACTGTTCTTCCTAGAGGTCCAGTAAGGATCATTATTGATTGAGGGTTAAGCTGGTAATAAAGTTGCTTCTCTCTTTGTGCAGGAGATCAAAACAAAATCTCTGAGAAAGATCTCGAAGCACAATTTCATGCTTTGAGACGACTGGTAGCATCCAAAGCTGGCTTCCGCGCTTTTACTTCCCTCGTTGGGTAAGCATTGATTATTCTTTATGTGCTAGTAAGACAGACCTACCCTAGAATGCATGGTTTGTGTCGGAACTACTTGATAAAAGCGAAGATGAGCTACTTTAAAAATATTTAAAACACTTCGACGTTTCCCATCCAAAGATTAGTAGGACACAAAGGTCTTCTTCGCTGGTGTAAGTTGTATAAAGGTGGTTAAATACAAACATACAAACATACAAACATACAAACTTTATTTAACCACGTTAGTCTCAATAACCGTTGGGAGGCTGATTTCCATGCAGGGCGTGAAATATAAATTTAACTATTTACAAGAAATACAAAAATATGAAAATATGACAAGAAAATACGGTGGTTTTTAATACACGATCATACACGAGCACGTTTCAACTCGTTCTTTGTTTTAATATCGATATGAAAGAGCTTAAGGATTCAGCAATTTTTGCCTCATGGGAAAGATTATTCCAATGCAAGGCACCGTTATAACTGGAGCACCTCTTGCCAAATTTTTTTTTCGGCATAGGTGAAGCAAGGTTAACGGCGGATGTATTATGCGTGCTACATCCGTGGAGGGGAGTCCGTGACGTCATATCGATCAAAGGGTTTTTTTCGTGCAGGGCTTCGGTCTGGGTATTCATTCTGCCATTGTATGCTTTGCCTAGTTGCAGCAAGTTTAGCGCTTTGATACCTCTTTTCCCAACCCACCCATGTTTATTCTAGATGATTTTTCTGATAGTATGTCATTTTATTATTATATTATATATAATTTAATTTCTCATGAAATATGATGTATAGACCACTATACATTGTATTTCGTTTCCACTGACTTGTCAGTATGCATGACTGGTGCCGGAGGTATGCCGTGGCAGAATTGTCATGGCTATCTCCTTTTGCTGCTAATATTACTGATTGTTGCTCTCATTGTTGCCGCGCAGCTGCTATGGCAATACTTCTTGCCATCAAGGCTAGTTGCAGCCTAATTGGACCATAAACAGCACCTACCTCCAAACACGAATACTCTGCCGTTAACGGTATAGTTCTACTTTTGGTTTATTTAAGTTTTCGTGAAAAAGTTGGCTTGAAAACCGTGAAAGCGTTGAAGAGGAATAACGAAGCTGTGACACACGCCGCAGTTGACATGTTGTGTGCTTTGATGCAGGTAGCCAGTTGACTATTTTAAGTTGACTATCTTGAATAACTGTTTTGTTTTGTAGTAACATGCATGAACACCCCGTTTATTTACTTAGCAAAACTTTCGAAGGACCAAGAGCTCGTTATAGGCTGTCCCGAACAGAGACATTAGCCGAATTCATATTAGGGACGGGAAACTCGTCTTAGACGGGAAACTCGTCTGTGAAAACCCGTCTGAATATGAATTTAGGGACGGATAAATTCGAATTTAAGACGAGTTTCCCGTCTAGATGGGATTCCCGTCTAACTTTCCCGTCTGTTTAGACGGGTAAGTTAGACGGGAAAGTTCGGACGGGAAACTCGTCTGCCCCCGGATTCATATTGGACGAGTTTCCCGTCTAAGACTAGTTTCCCGTCCCTAATATGAATTCGGCTATTTTTATACATGATTAGGTAAATATAAAATATCTATAATCAAGTACTTCTTTTATTTTGTTTTTAGCCAATGCACGACAACTATGATATCCGACAAGAACAGATAAACAAGGCTTCGTTGTTATCTTCGGACAAATTTCTAGACAGTTTGTTAGATATTCTCACAATGAATGTGGTAAGGGAGGCCAGATTAACCATCCAGCAGCAGTCAGATTCACTATCCCGGGGCCGGTTGTACGAAAAGCCGGATATAGCGCTGTCCATCAGGGGATTTCTGAACCGACCTGACCGTGTAGCTCAGTTGGCAGAGCATTGGTCTAGTATTCCTAAGGTCGTAGGTGGCCAGGCATATTCAGGCTTCCCCGGTGTGGATATACACTCAGAGTAACATCACAAGCATCGTATCACCTGAGTACATAACACCAATACAGAAAAAAATCATTTCCAAATTTGTAAACAAGCTGCCAGAAAGTTTGCTTTGAATTTTAGATGAACCTAGGGTTAAGCTGATTGGCTTTAGAACGGCTTTCAACCTTTGTCAAATATCTGAAAAGCTGTAAAACTACGGATATGAACTCCACAAGTAGTATAAAAAACCTTTTAACTTATAAATACTAAACTTTAATCTGAGCTATACCAATCAACGACTGACTCAACAAAGCTTGAAAATCCGGTGGATACCGCATCCGGCTTTCGTACAACCGACCCCTGGAGTCAGATTTAATGTATCATCCAGTAGCTGGTGTGACGTTAATCTGTGTGTTTTCAGAATCGTTCTACTGGTGCATTGGTGATCAGTGGACTACTTGACTTTTTGACTTTCGCTTTGTGTCCTCCATACAGGTATTTCATGATATACTCAATCCCCAACTAATCTCTAATTCAATCAATTAAAAAACTGTTAATAAACTAAAGAACCCAATAAGTATAGGTAATAGCATGGTTTGGAGTGCAATTTGGGAAGAACATGCACGAGTGAGTTTTTCAAAGACTATCAAAATTCCACGAGTGCGAAGGACGAGTGCAATTTGAAGTCCTTGAAAAACTCACGAGTGTATGTTTTTTTCAAATTGCACGAGTTCCAAATTTTCATGTATATTATTAATTAACTTAATTCTTTATTAGTGAAACTACCGACGATGAACAATTTGGGAAATTATTAGAGAAAGTTGCAGGTATAAATAAAAAAAAATCATCACAAAAAAAAATCATCGCATTTTCAAAAAGACGTTTCAAATTAATGACAATATTTAAATATTTAACAATTAAAAAATATTTAACAATTATTAAATGAGGTTGAGCGTGATATTGTGTTTAAAAGATAACATAATGACTGTCCTCTTTTTTTATAGCAATGGGTCGCTGCATTTATAGACTGTTTCAGGTTAGTCTTTTATCGCTGGATTTGTTGCGATAATTCCTTCGTTTGTTTTTACCTCACGTACGTTTGTGTGTTCGTTTCCCTCCGTATCTTGCCGTTCACTTGACGGTTTATTTTCGGTTGAAGGATGAGCACTGTTGTATTCTAAACTTTTCCTTTTCAGCATCCGTCAACGACTATTGTGAAAGGTGCCGGGATGGTTCTGAAAGCAATTATTGAAGTAAGCTCTATCTACTGTATTATATGACATGATTGACATCCCTGCCCAATTTACCTTTTTGTTGATATGATGCACACACATAAAAATACACAAGTTGTAACAAACCTGCAGCAGACTTGTAGCAATGCTGTTCCAGCAACTTGTCAACAGGTTGTGTTCGCACTGCTTGTTCCCAGCTTGTTGACAAATTGCTACAAAGTTGTTGAGCTTGAACAGACTTGTTACAAGTTGTTCCAACAACTTTTCATCGTCCTACAATTCAATAACTTGTTAAGTTACAACCTTGTAGCAACTTGATAAAATAACAACACTGTTACAACTTATAAATATTATTATTCATTGTACTGTGTTCTCGGTTTTTCATTGGCTAAGAGCCTACAAATAATTTTTGGTATTTGTGGGTGCCTGCGCTATTTCCAGCGGAAACAGTAATCTGCAGAGGTTATTGGCAGCGCCCGTGATCTTTCAGCGGTATTTTATGTGAAAATACAAATTGGCGGGAAATTTTTAGTTGAGCGGCTTTTTCAATTGTTCACAATGGCTAGTGCTCGTTTCGCAACGTTTTCAACGCAGGAAATTGAAAAAATCGTGGAAAACAAGGACTCAGAGAACACCAAGAAAAGTACTAAACTGGCAAGAGAGGTTTTCAATATTTATATTTACGAAAAGTTAATCAATTCAATGAATATTTGTTTTCAATTGTTGCTTGTTTTGTTTTCTTTCTGTCACAAAATGAATAATAAAACAATTATTGAATTCGGCTTGCGCAGGATACCAGAATTATTTAGACCTCGGTCAATGTTCAGCCTTCGGCTTCAGCAGATAACATTGACCTCGGTCTAAATAATTCTGGATATCCTGCTCAGCCTCATCCAATAATTGTTAATAATATTGTACTTGGTGTTTAAACAAAATATTATATGTTTTATCGCCATGCGAGCCTACAAAGAACTTATTACTGTTACAACTTCTTGAGAAGCTTGCTACAGGCCCGAACACATCTTGTTGACAAGTTGTGAGATTTTTGCGTTTGTAATTAATTTGGCTTATAGTCCAGCCATTTAAATAAATGAACCGATACCAAAGCTCAAACTGTCTGCATCGTCCTCTAGGAAGGTGATGAAGAGACAGCGGCAAAAATGCAAGACCTCGCCCTGGCCGAGGGCGCGCTACCAAGACATTTACACATGGCTATGTTTACTCAAAGCAGTGATAGAAGATTACTTATGAACAGGTCAGAATATATAGTGTATTTACGTCACTCAAAATTTCCATCTACAAAATTCCTTCAATTATTTATGTCGCATATCACGCCTCAATGGACCATTCCCCAATTAATCAAAATTTTGAACTCAACAAGTCTAGACAAAAATTTCATCACAGCTTGAAAGAGCATCACAAAATTAGTAATATTCCAAAGTTTCGTTGCGAAATTTGCGAAATTTAGATTACAAACGGGAAATGGTTACCACTTCTTTGCGTAATACAAAATGACTGAAAATTACAAACTTCGCAAGGCTATATTATCCACATTTTACAACATTTTGCAATGAAACTTTGGAATATTTACTAATTTTCGGATGCTCTTTCAAGCTGTGATGAAATTTTTGTTTAGGCTAGTTAAGATCAAAATTTTGGAATAGTGGTAACCATTTCCCGTTTGAACCTAAAATGACTGAAAATTGCAAATTTCCCAAGGCTATATTATCCGCATTTTACAACATTTCGCAACGAAACTTTGGAATATTACTAATTTTGTGATGCTCTTTCATGCAATGATGGAATTTTGTCTAGACTTGTTGAGATCAAAATTTTGGTTAATTGGGGAATGGTCCATT